ATTCTTGTGTAGTCATAGTCTCCCTACGTTGAATAGAGGTTGTTTGAACTTGTTTCGGCAAGAGAGAGACTGTGATAGGACCTAGGAAAGGAGGACTGTGTAACGATATGGCAGACTTTGATCAACATTAAGTTGCAAAAACAAGGTCAAACAACCTCAATGAATTTTTTTATTTAAACTAAGTTATTTTAGGCAACTGGGCTGTAATTTTTCAGAATACCACAGCTTAGCATTTGGAATGGACAAAATATTGTGAGTTTTGGCTGTTAATCGAAGTATTGGAATTGTTGTAGAGAAAATAATAAAGCAAAAATTATTTGGATTGCGCAGCTAAACCTCCTTAAGCCAAATTACAGACATCATTTACGGATTCAAGATAGACTTCAATACATAGTTCACGGTGAAATCTTTCTAAGTACAGAGAGTACGGGGATTGCGTCTTAAGAAAAGTCTTCTCCTTCGACTTTCTGAATGATTTTTGTCAACAGCTCATTAAATACCATTTGTAAATTGTTAAAATAGGCTTTTCATTAGGCCGGAATTTTTATTTTACTTCCATATGACTTGGTTTAAGTGGATATAGCAAAAATGTGCTTAATGTAACTAACCTGATATTTATATTTGAGCTTGTAGCCTATGATAAAATTTAACTTGGATCCCCACTCCTTAATTAGAACATTTAATGGGAAGACCCGCGTTATTGGTCCAAACCAAATTGATCTGCGTATACATACTTCATTCCTTCCATTTATCACAAACAGGACGTCTGCATTTCAGCAGTAAAAGAGAAGGACATTGAAGCCAAATTAAAGACAGTGATCAATGATTGGTCGGCACAGAACTTCCAATTTGCAGCCTTCAAAGCTCGGGGAGAACTTCTGCTCAAAGGGGACGCCACCTCGGAAGTTATCAGTTTAATGGAAGATTCATTGATGGTACTAGGATCTCTGCTTTCTAATCGTTATAATGCCCCATTCAAGCCTAAGATCCAGGAGTGGGTCCAGAAATTGACCAGTACTACTGAAATCATAGAGAACTGGCTATTAGTGCAGAACCTCTGGATCTACCTTGAGGCCGTTTTTGTTGGAGGAGATATAGCCAAGCAGTTACCGCAGGTTTGTTAAAAAGTTGCAGATAACATAATAAGCGGCAAAATTAAATGGCATATTGAGTACTAATCAATATTTATTTTTTATTCCATATATTACTATCAACCATCTAGTAATAAGGCATTTGGATAAATGTTTATATTCGTAATATATATGCCCAAGATCGAATGTCAGTAGCCCTTGGTGTAATTTTTCA